AACACCAGATCGAAAACCAGTCAAAGAACAAATCTCAAACCAGTTTAAAACTAGTCTAAAAACAGGCCCAATCAAAACCAAAACCAGTCTAAAACCAGGCAGAAATCAAGACCAAGACCAAATCCAAAATCAGGCCAACACTTGTCTAAAATCTGGTCGAGTAATGAGGTTAGTAAATGAGGTTTATTTAATGATTAGTATGTGAGCATTTTGTTTTTTCATCTAGATGGTTAGAAAAGTCTGTGAGTGTTTCTAAATGATTTTTTGCACATTTGCAGGTTGTTAAATTTATATAAAAGCAACAACCAGAACCAACCAGAACCAACTGAAGCTACACGTAAAGAAGTAAAGCGTCTCACTGGGTAACGTGACGACGGAGAACTGAGGAGCGTCCGAGTCGTCTTGTTCGTCTGCGGAGAGCCGAAGCTTCTTCTGAAGAGGCTCCGAGTCCTCGTCTGCACACAAATAGCTTCAATTATTCATCATCAGGGAACAACATCTGCACCAACAATTATTACTGATTAAACCTGCTGTAGTGGACCGTTTGGGCCACCAGGGGGCAGCAGACACAAGCAGCTAAATGTGTTTCTTGTTTAAACTCTTACAAAGTTTTTACTTCATCGCCTTTAAACCTGCAGGTATCTTGGTTTAACCTTCTGTCTGATTAGTTATTTATATACACTGGATGCTTCAATAGGATTTAAACTAATAAACGTCCTAAACGAAGCTCTGACCCACCGGTTTGAGGACAGTGCAGGATGATGCTTCCATCGCTGTCCTGAGTCAACGTCACCGACTTCACGGTTTCTAAAGCTGCAGCGTCTTCGTCCTCCGCAGCCGAACTCATCCTGAACCTGCAGAGAAACGCGATGACGTCACTGCCACAGGTGTGTTTGTGTTACAGAGCGGTGGAAAGAACAGGTGATTATTTAAAAAGGCACATTTAAGTCTCAAATCTGCTTAAGAAAAGGATGAAAATTAAGTTTTTGAAATGTTAAATGCAACTAATTATTATTTTTTAGCATCAATTAGCCGTTAAAGCTCTAAAAAATACTGAAAGCGGTAAGTTTTCTTTACTGTAATACATTCCAAATCCCCAACATTCTTCATAAATAGTGAATTCAAGCAGCAAAAACAGAGAAATTTTGTTGAAAATTAGCTCACAATGGGTCTGAACTTTTACACGTAAAGCAAAATATGAGTTAGCTAGACTGATTTTGGTCATTAATAATATTTCTGAGCAACATAGAGATAGTAGTTTTAATTGTTTTTAAAGTTTGCTGGAAAAAAGCCAGATGCAGTTCTTAAAACAGAACATTTATTCAGTTTGAAGCCATTTATATGAGCGATGCATGCTTTGGCTTAAGATGCAAGTATTTAGCTAAATAATTAAAATAACATTGACATAAAGGTTAAATTATCAAAATGTGTTGCAGGAAGCAGCATTTTAGTAAAAAAAAAAAGACTTTACTTTACTGATGTAAAATGATTTAATTTTGTTGAATACAAGAGCTGCAGTAAAAACAAACAAAAAGAAAAACCTAAAAGTAGCAAATGTCAGCGCTACGTTCTGCAGTCAGAACTCCATTCAAAATTCTGTCACTTTAAGCTAAATCGCACTTGATCGCTGCTGTTTAGCTTCGACAAAATTAATTAAAACATGTGATGCATTGTTACAGTAGTGTGGAAAATTCTGGTTGGAAATTATTCAAAATGAGGTTAAACATTTAAATAAAAATCTAAACTTATGTGAAGAAATCAGGTTCCTTGCTGACGAGCTCCAGCTTGTATTTTAATAGAGATGGGAGGCTCAATCGGTCATAATCTCTTGAAACGTGTTCTGATTTCTATGCAGCACCGAACTGAAGGAAGGATCATGTGTGTAAGTCAAGTTATGACGAGTTTTTAATAATATTCTTTCAAAATCAGCAAGATTATGATAAATTCCTACATTTTTGAATGCTGGCTGGTGAAGGTTCTACTTTCAATAATAACTTTATGTATACAGCACAAAAAACAAAGACAACACAACAATAATTAAGATAAAGTTAAAAAGACAAAATACTTTATTTAAATAGCTTAAAAAACACAGCTGTTGAGTCACAGTCCTTTCCAATAGAAAAATAAGATTAGAAATGTCTAATTATTAAGAGCCTTCAATATAAAATAAAGTTACCTGATGAAATAAATAATAAGCTAAACACACTTAAGACACTCACTGATTTATATTATTAATTAAGGTTAAGACCTAAAATTCTATGTGTACAACCATTAATAAATGAGAAATTCAAACTAAAGTACCTTAAAAATAGTCAACTGAATAGACAAACTGGTTATCAGCAGGTTTTTAGCTCCTTTATTAAAACTTGGGGTTTTTTATTTTATTTATCATTAGATGTGTTGGGTACACTGCCAGTCATTTTAATGCAGGAAAGCAGTGATGTGTTTTTTGTTCATTAAATTCACACCAGACTCCCTTGAAAAACAGCCAAATTTAAATGAAATTTGCACATCTGCAGGTACTGAAAAGTCAATAAAGATTTGTAGTTTAGGCTTAATTTGTAAAAATGTGTTGTGATATTTTTGGACAGTATGTATGCTGAATTGTTGCTTTCGTCACTCTGAAAGGGTTTAACTTAAAATTAAAACCAATAGTGTATTTATTGTTCCCCAGTCAGCAAGAGTGTGTAAAATTAACCTTTTTGTAAATGAAGTTTGGCCCGTATAGAGGTATTTCTAACACAGATTCTGCAGAGATGGGACAAGTTGTTTAGGTTTGTTTACTCCCATGTTACAATGAAAACAAAAGCCTTCCAGTTTAAATGTAGTAAAGCAGAGGTGTGCGTTTGATTACATGCAAACCAAACTCCCTTTAAAAACAGACAAATTTAAGGGAAATCTGTATATCAGCAGATACTAAACTCGCATATCAATATTTGTGATATTTTATTTATTATTATATGGGATGGGTACACTCGGGTGAGAATTGATCCATTAATAATTTACTTTAGTGCAAATACAAAGCTATATATTCAACTTTATCTGCTCGCTGCCGCCCCCCACTGTTATCAGGAGGAAGCAACGTTGTCAATTATCAGCTTGTCGTTTGGGCTAAATTTATTAAAATGTGTTGAGATTTTTTGGATAGTATTTACGCCGAATTGTACCTGAAGTCACTTTAAAACGGTTTTACTTCAAGTTGACATCGGTAGTGTTTGTGTTGTTCAGCAATTAACGAGAGAGCCTGAAATTAGACCTTTTGTAAATGGAGTTTGGCCCACACATTTGTGAGGCGGATTCTGCGCAAAGATGGATGCGTCGTTTATGTGCAGTTGCACCGATGTCACAGGGGAAATGCGGCTTCTAGTTCAAACGCACTAAAGCAGGAATGTGGCGTGAACGGAAACTGAAAGGATGCCGCAGTTAGAGCAGCTCTGCCTCGATGCTAACCGTTAGCATCCAGCGGGCTAGCAGCTAAATGAAAGACGAAAAATCTCCGGCGCCATGTTCGCGGACAAGGTGAAGCTTATGGCGTCTGTGCGGTTTGACGCAGCTCCGGCGCTTTGTTCTCGGCTCTAGCGGAGATTTTGCGGCTCTGCGGCTTCTCTGCGCCTCCGAGCGGCTCCCGCTACCAAACAGAAAGTGAATTTTGCGTTTGATTTGGTTACTTACTTCCTGTTTTTGGTCCGGGGACTTGTGAGTTACCAGGATGGAGCGAAGTGCCAGGATGGAGGAGCGGCCGAGCGAGGGCCGCCGGGGCGCCAGGTCGGAGCCTAATCCGTAAACCGGAGGGTTAATCCGTGTTTTAAACGTTTTTATATTTGCTGTTTCTGCTTCTTTCTTTTTTTTGCTTTAAGAACAAAAATAGTCATTAAAGATGACAAAATCAACCAGTATAGGAACAGAAAATCAATCTTAAACTATTTTAATATGTTATTTAAGTATATGTTTGTCATTTTTAAATCATTTAATCAGGTGTATTTCATGAGACAAAGCTGTACGATCTCCATTTTAAATTATCTAAAATTCCTAATCTAAGTTGGTCAGTTAAGTTAGTCTTTTATATGTGTAATATGTTTGAATTTATATTTAATCTTGGTGGATATACTTATATAAATAAAGATACTGAAGGGTCTCGACCCACATGTTTAAATTAGTCAGCTGAAGTTGTTTATTAAATAGCACAATGCAGGATTTAAACTTTTACGCTAAAGCTTGGCAGGTAAATGTGTAAAATAACTAGTTTGTTGGGTCTTGACTGAAACATTTAATCCACGCAGGTAGATTTCTTTTTTATATAATAATGTAGGGCCTCGGGCTTAACAATTAAATTAGGCAGACACTTTTTTGTCAGCGTTACTTTTTAGTGTTACTCTAGCTTTTTATTTAGTTTATTTATTTTAATTTCAGTCATGTATTGTGCTTGCATGTTACTGTGTTTTTACTTTTAAAGGCCCTACGTTTCTTATGTTATGTCTTTTTGTTTTTGTTCTTTTTCTGAGTAATATCTGGCCCAAGAATTTCCTCCAGGATTAATAAAGTTTTTTGTGCTTTATGTATAATACTGTGTGGTTTAAATGACAACTGAGATGTGGTCAGAAGCTGTGTAAAAGACAAGTAAGAGGGTTATTTGATCTAATTAAATGCTTAAAGTGTGTCAGTATTATGCATCGATTCCTGTAAGAAGGTAAGAATCAAATCTGGCAACCAGCCTGTCCCCACTTAAAATGTGTCCGGATAACGCCCCGATTTAATTATTATTTGTTTGGCTTAAATGACTGTTTCTACACGTTGACAATATTCACAACCAATGCAGAAAATTGACTCATTTTCATGTCCGTCACGTAACTACATTTTGTACGTAAACTCTGCGTTGTTTGTTGAGAGACAAAGGTTCCGCTGCTGTTTCCACCGGACTGCTTTCAGCGACGGACGGTGCGTTGCAGCTGCTAAAATCCAAAAAACACACATTTTGAGCACTGAAAGCCAAAAAGAAGAGATGGGGGAGCAGCCGGTCCGAGTGTAAGTTTGAATTCAGAAATACTTTAATCAGGTTTTGTGTCGTTTGTCGTCGCTGTGGTTCATCCTGATGGTTTTTATTTCATTCAGTTTGACTCTTGTTGTGACAGAAGGTTTGTTAGATTTCCGTGTTTCGTCTAAAAAGCCTTTTTAAATGTCCTCGACAAGAAAAAGTTCCTCTAAAATCACATTTTAAAACCTGTAGGTCAAAGCTGTTCCAGTTCCTGCACGTCTTAGAATTAATTTTAATACAAAACGTCACGATTCTCACCGAACCTCGTTTAAAATTAAGCCAATTTAAGGTTGCGCCACTCAGTAAACACGTATGTGCTTTCTAAATGTGTTATCTAGATACATAATCGATATCAGTAGATGAGAATGAAAAAATCGGCTCCACCAAAACACTTGAAATCTAAGAAAAGCCTCGTTCAAATCTCCACAGCCAAACCTCGTCCGTAATTTACACAATTTAAGGTTTTGTTACTCATTTACACATTTAAACACATCCAAAGACGCCACACGTGGATATAATCGATATCAGTAATTGGTAATAAAAAATTCGGCCAACATACAGTTCACCAAAACACTTTATTTATGAGAGAATTTCAGTTTTACGCATATTAAACCGTGTTTAAAATGGAGAGGATTTAAGGGTTTTGTTACAAATCGGCATTTATCATAAAGAAGAATAACCAACATCAGTGATTGGAAATGAACAACCCACCAAAAATACTTTAATTTCAGTTTGACTTGTGTGAAACTTCATTCAAAATTTACACAATTTAAGGTTTTGTTGCTCAACAGCACTTTTCTGTAAATCACAAGGTGATATGGAAACAAAATCCATGATTAGGAATGAAAGGCTCACACATATTTATTATGTATGAATTTAAATGTCTTCAATATTCACCCGTACATGTTTCCCAACACACAAGGAAACAATAAGTCCTGCAGAAAAACACAATTCAAGGTGATCTGTTTGGACAGTTTTTGTTTTTATTGTCCAGGACGTCATTTTTTACTGTATTTATTTAGAGTCCCTGTTAAAGCAGGTGTGTGTCTGCAGGTTGGCGTGTGGGGATGTCGAAGGTCGTCTGAGCGCTCTGTTCAGTCGAGTCCAGGCCATCCAGAAGAAGACCGGACAGTTTGACGTGAGTCTCATCTGACAGAAAACAACCCAATAGTCTCATTAATTGTTTTTATAGCTACAGCGGTGTCATCCTCGTTAAGTTGTGGTCCATCAGTGTGTCCATGTTTGTCGTCCTGCAGCTGCTGTTGTGCGTCGGAGAGTTTTTCGGGACGACGCCGGAGGCCGAAGCAGAGTGGCAGCAGTACAAGACTGGAGCCAAGAAAGGTGCAAACATCTGGAAAACCGCCTGTTTCTACGGCGCTGACGTGTCCAAACTCATCAGGGCAGACAGTCTGCATTTATATTTATATTTGTTGACATGTTTAAATCACATTTCTGTTTATTTTCTCACCGTACTGAAGAACCGACCGACAGTCCAAAATGTTCTGTGACTGTTGCAAAGTGTGACCACAGGGGGCGCTGTTGTAGTGACATATGGTTTTCAAACTGGGCCAAATAAAGTCCAGTGGAAGCTTTATACTGACCTGTCTGCTGATCCCTGATACAATTCAGTCATACAGCAACAGCGCCCCCTGTGGTCACAGATAGATAATAGATATAACGCTCAGAAAGTTTGTGCTCCTCTATAAGAAAATAAATAAACTGTATTTTGTTCCTCGTCAGCTCCCATCCACACCTACATCCTCGGGGCAGCGAGTCAGGAGATGGTGAAGCACTTTCCCAACGCTGATGGTTGCGAACTGGCTGAAAACATCACGTATCTGGGTAAGAATCAGCAGAGGACGCAGGTTAACGGCTAGCATCGCAGTTAGCATCGTAGTCAGGTACATATACTATGACGTCCTGGACAATACCAACAAAAACTGTACACACAGATCACCTTTAGAGAATTTAAATTGGCTATAATGCCTGTATTACTATGCCAACCCTGAGCTTCATATTTAGTGTCCGCCACACTTCAAGTATTGTTTATTAGCTGTAGTACCTGATTGGGCCACCAGGTGGAGCTTCTCAGTGTAACAACCAGAGGAGGCTGGCAGGTAGAGAGCATTGTGTGGGTTTAGCTACTAAAGGGGCACCATGACAAAGACTTCTGTGGTGCTTGATGGGTGTGTCTCCAGGTCGGCGAGGCGTGTTCACCGGCGTGTCGGGGCTGCAGATCGCCTACGTCAGCGGTCGGGAGGCCCTTCAGGAACCGGCGCCGGCTCACTGCTTCACCTCCAAAGACCTGTCGGCCCTCGTGACGCCTCTGACCGGCAACTCCAAGTTCAGGGGCGTCGACATCCTGCTGACGTCGCAGTGGCCGCGAGGAGTCTGGCACTTCGGGAACAACCCGGTAACGCAACATTCGCTGGTCCTGCAGTCAGATTTAAAACCAGAATTTATCTGATGGACTCAGTTACATTTCATTTTGACTAAAGTGACTAAAACAGGAAGCTGAAACGTTGCTTCTCTGTTGCAGGACGTGAACACGAAGTTCTGTGGAAGCAGCTCCGTCGCCACCCTCGCCGACAAACTGAAACCGCGGTACCACTTCGCTGCACTAGAGGGCGCTCACTA